CTGTTAAACAGTGATATAAACCACAGTGGCATGTGGGGCTTCGAAGGTGGACGTTGTTAGCAGTAAATGGTGAAAGCTTCAGTATCAGTGGCCATTTACAAATTCATTGGGTGGGGGAGGGCAGCAAGAAATTGGAGATGCTCTGTTTTCCAGGGCACCCCTAGGAATAACCAGGAACAATGTCCACAAACTGACAGAGGGCAGATTTAGGTTGGACATCAGGAAGAACTTCTTCACAGTAAGGCTTGCCAGAATCTGGAATGGGCTTCCAAGGGAGGTGGTGCTCTCCCCTACCCTGGGGGTCTTTAAGAGGAGACTGGACAAGCACCTGGCTGGGCTCAAATGACCCCAGTGCTCTTTCCTGCCCAGGGCAGGGTGTCAGACTCCATGATCTGTTGAGGTCCCTTCTGACCCTAACAACTATGAAACCAAAGGGGTATTGGCCTGATCCCTACCCAGCGTGTTGAAACCCGAGGAGCAGCTTTCTGACCTCTGCTCCCAGTGTCACAACTTGCTACTTGCTGGGTTGTCCTGAACGTTCAGAATCTTCCAAAAACTCTAAACTGAGCAAAAGCTTCTGGCCATCTAGTCGTCACTGTTTCTAGCCAGCGCCTTCTCCACGCCTGGGCTTGAGGAGAGTCAGCTTTGTCTGTGGATGTTGGGACATGGGCACTGAAGTCAGGTACCACTTCAGGGCAGGTGGAAGCACTGTATTGAGGTGACATATAGCAGCCAGCCACCTCCCTGGACTAGAAGAAAGAACTGTGAACTAATTCTGGGTCCCAAACCTGGATCATTTAGCCCAGGTCCATGTGGCAGAGACTCCCTCAGTGAGGACTGAGGCTGAGTCACCTCCGTTACGAGTAGTCAACACCAGCAATATTTCTGTCTTGGCATAACACTGAGACTCATGAGACTGGACCCAGTATTGGTACCGGAGCCTAAAGGTGCTTGCAGATCTGTTGCTGTCTTCCTGACGCCAGCATGCGCCCTTCTTACCGAGGGCAGCACAGCGCTGCCTACTGCCCCTCTCATTTTCCCCCTCTGCAGGCATGCACCACTGCCCCCTGATTCCCACCCAGGCATTTCTAGATAAGGAAATGCCACGTCCTGTAGTGTTTGCTGGTCCCCAGGGATCCCCAAAGTTCTTGCTACCAATGATTTTCCTCTTGAAGGACCAGACCTTTTCAGGTCTTGTACGGATGAGTCTTTACACAGCTGATTGGGCTCTAGGGCCACATTAAGGCCTCTGAACATCTGTACACCTGTCATCAGGAGGAAGAACGTTTAGGTTTTTGGGCCCGTTCAGGTGGGAAATGTCCACCTGTCAGCAGCAGAGACTGTTGACTGTAGTACTAACTTAGTGCTGCTGTTCACATGAGTTTTCCTTCCTCCTCTGTCTCTATTGTCAACCCAGCATCATGTCCCAAACAGCAGGCACAACAGCCAGGCTGAGCTCTTCCCCAGTTGTGATTGGTGCCTGTGCTGTTTTTCTCAAGCCTGAACTGAGATTACTGGGACTTCACCATTCAAAATGAAATTCTCTCAGGCTCCCGTGGTAGTTATCCCTGTACATTATGACCATGGGAGCTTGGTATAAATCCAATCCTTGCCCCTTTCCTCATCCGTCTTTGGAGACCAATCTCATGAGAAGCATCTGACCAGCTAGGAGTCCCAGGCATCCCTCGGCTGTATCTGTTCCACTGCTTCCTTATTCCTGTAAGGAGAGTAGGGTACGTTCTCTACGGGGTCTAGGATGACTAAACAAATTAATCAGCTCAAAATCAGAAGTGCGACACTATCCTCCATCACCCCTCTTCTCAGCTCCAGCCTGGTTTGTGACCCAGGACCTCCAGACACTTATTTTTGCATTGACCTCTGGAGCCCTTGGACAACATTTACCATACAGTAGTAGCTAGGCATTCCTGCTGACAAGGATCACCCTTCAGCCTACCTGAAGCCCCTGCAGTATTTATGAGATGCTTGGCAACAGTGGCTGTTGTGCTTTGTGCCTGGGCCATGGAGACTTGAAGTTAAATTTCCACTTCTGAGATATTTAGATGGAAAGTTTTTGTTTCTTGAGAGGGAGAGAGCAGCATCTTCACTCAACTTCCTCCACCACCAAACACCTCTGTTCCGTCCTTGAATCTGCACTCTCCTTTTCTGCATCTCCTGTGCTGGCTGCTCTCCCTGTATGTGCCCTGTCTCACTGAACTTCTAGCCCTGTCTTCATCTCATGCCTTGCAGCTGCCTTTTTTGAGGCTTGGTTTGGTGTTTGCTCTGTCAGACGCAAAAGCTGCTGCCATATCCGTTGTGCATGACTCTGCATCATCACCATTGTGCTCAGATTAGTAGTGTAGCTGAATCAGAGTAACGTTTAGCAGGGGACTCTGTTCCACCACATGCTAGAAGAAACAGCCTCTGCCCCAAACGCAATCCAGTCTACATTGTAACGGAGAAGTGAAGCTAGATGGTGGGTGGAATAAAGAAAGTATTACCCCATTTTTAAAGGTGGGGCATTGAGGCACAGGGCATGAGTTGTCCGAGTGATCTAGGAAAGTCATGTCAGAATCCAGCTAAACCATTAGCTCTCTTCTGCCTCTGAAGGGATAATTGGCAAGTTTAGCCAGGGGTTTACCTCTGCACAGTGCTCTCACTTGGGCTTGTGAAGCTGCTCTGGATTTACACTGGTGTGCCTGAGAATGGAGAGTGGCCTGCTAGGCTTACTTGGCGCTGTCCCTCTCCACGGGACGGTCTGTGGGGCGGTGGCTGGAGTGATGGCTGCACTTTCTTTCCCTTTCCTTGCAGGGAGTTTGTGGAACAGCCCCGTGACTCTTTCCCAGTCTGTATTTACATGCGAGATGAGGTAAGTCACCAGCTCCCTCCCTCTGTCCTTGAAAATAAGGAAAGCCCAGCGCTACTTTCCAACCTGGAAAATGTTTTCTCCCAGAGCTTTTTTGAACAGGGAAGTCGAAGAGCTTTGGTCTTTTCAAAGCCTGACGTGTTTGTATGGAAAAAAGCTCTGTTGGAACATAACCCAGGGCTGCTCAGACCTCTGAGCCCATAAAATGCTCTCAATGACCTGCTTGTGTTTTTCTCGACTTCTTCTGAAACCCAAGAGTCAAAACAGTGGTTTCATTTTAATAAATATTTGCTTTCCGCCAAGTTTTGATCTCCTTGCATTAGCGTTTCTGTTTAATATGTTGTGTGTGAGCAGAGTGGGGCCTGCTCTCCTGAGATGGCCCCAGTGTTTCCTGCTGACCTCTGGGAGTGGGTCAAGGATGGGGTAGAGGCCGGGGACCTGCAGTCTCTGCGGGGATTGCTGCCGCTGGTGTTCCCTCTGGGGTGGAAGTGTCCCTGGCTGAGCAGTTCTGGGATGTGCTCCTGTCCCATGTGCAGCTGTCTCGGAAGTGGCAGCACCCTGAGCTCTGCCTTCAGCATGAGTGCCACGCACTGGCCTGAGGCTGCCGGCATGGGCCCTGCTGGTTGACTTTTTGGCTGGCAAACAGGTACCCTAAACCTGTGCCCCTCTCTCTCCCTTTGCAGATAGCAGGGAGGGATGCCCTGGAGAAGACAACACTGAAACTGCTTGGCCTGACTGGAGGCAGCGCCATTATCAGGTTGGGAGGAGTGAGATGCATTTCCAGCTTGGGCACTTCCCCTTTCTTCCCTCTATTTTTCACTCTAGTGGTAAATTTGTTTTGTTTCAAGGATGAAAAAAATGCATTAAAAGTTCAAAGAGAAAAACATCGCAGCACTCAGTAATTATTGTATTTCCCTGTTTATCTGAAACTGCTTCCCAGATGTGCTTCCCGCAGCTGCAGATGCTGGCACTGACCAGTTGTGTTGTGCAGATTAAAGGGGCTTGCATAGATTGGCTTTTTTTTTCCCTTGAGTGAATCGGATAATTCCAAGCTAAAGTCCCTCTGAGGGTAGGACAAATCCTGCCACTGTACCTTCCCTGCTTTGTATGGCATGCATGTTCAGCTCCCAGGCCCTGCAGTGCCTCCTGCTGGCTGGGGTGAGGGGTGTCCATCTATCTGATTTACTAGCCCTGCTCAGTCTGTGGGAGGTTGGGTGTGTTCCAGGGCTGACTGCTGCCCTTTTCCCCAAAAAGGAGACTTCCTCCATGGAGTGGGGGCTGTTCACAGGCCTGTCAGACTTCAGAGTAACTGGGACTGGTTTTCTTTGCCTGTCCTTAAGAAGCAGCTCATGAGTGTTGGGGTTCTTTGTGCTCTGCAGTCCCTCTGCGTGGCGTATGGTGGGAACAGGGCTGGCTGGCCAGGCTCTCAGCGTCAGTGATTAGTGCTTTCATTCCTTCCTTTGGCATCTCCTTTCAGGGTTGTCATGAAGAAGCACAGTTTATCTGGCCAGGAGGAGGCTGTGGATGCTGCAGCCCAAGCGAATGAGCCTCCACGGAGGTCAGTCTGCACCGAAGGAGCTCTGGATCTGCCTTTACTTCAAACAAACACGTTCCCAAAGGACTTGGACCACAGAGATGTGTCTGCCTCCTTAAAGAGCTGTACGGATGAGCAGCCCAATGCCTTGGCCAGCTCAGGGGGGCTGCAGGCTGCCACAGCAGCTGTCCCCTTCGTTCCTTTCTCTGGAGGTGGGCAGTGTCTTGGAGAGTCTCCTGCAGCTGCAGCAGTTCCGGTGTCAGACATGCCATCCTCAAAGCTGCCAACGTCTCTCTGTAGTCCTGGAGGCCCTTCTAAGCCAAAAAAGACCAAGACTAGCCAGGGACAGCCAAAGGAGCATGAGCAGGTAAGGGGAGCTTTGTTTGCGTGGGGTGTCAGGTCTTGGTTAGGGAGTGCGTTTCTCTCATCTTGCTTTGCAGTAAACAGGTCTTCTGCAAAGAGACACTTGGCAGTGCCTAGTGTTGTCTGTCCGTCCTATAACATGAGCATTGAGCTGTGGCCTTTGAAGAGGAAGAAATTGTGTTAGCTAGGAGTGCTGCCCTCTGGGATGAGTGACTGATACTGCAGAAGGAGGTGAGCAGTGGGGATTTAGACTTTGCTTCCAGCCCTGCGCTGGTCTGGGCTTTGACTGGTGTGGTGTCTGTTGAGCTAGCTGCTTGGAGGGAAGGACACGGCCTGGTGAGGAGTGCAGCCTACGAGAACTGGATGTTGTGGCAGGTTCCATATAAGCCACAGCCCAAATGCCTGACAGGGCCAGATGCAGTCATCAAATGGCTTTTATCCCTATGGACAAAGAGCTGAGACTTCTTTTGCTGCTTGCTTTGTGGTTCTACAAGGGTGAGGCAGGATTTCAGGGTCCAGGTTTGTGTGTTCAATCTGCTGTGGGTGCTCATGTGGCTCACTTACCTTTGGCATAGTCAGGCTGGTTCCACTGTTGCAAGGTTTGAGAAGAAGTTCTTGGGCTCTGTTCAGCCTGACAGGAGCCCTGTCAATGGGAGGTGTTTCACTTGCAGTCTGTGCTGGGATAGTGTCCTGTCCTGAAGCACTGCAGCCTGACCCACGGGCACCTGTCTGTGTGGGAACCCAGATGTCTCTGCACCACCCAGATCTTGGTGGAGTCTGGTGGCTGTTTCTAGCCCTAAAATTCTCAGATGTGTTTCTCTGGCTGCAGTCTTCCCCAAACCTTGCTTTGGGACCTAGAGCTCTGCAATCCAGCTTCCTGTCCCCAAACCAGCACCTGCCCTCTTCCCTCCCTCACCTCCCCATACACACACACTTCTGCCCAGCTCCCTACTTGCACATACACCATCCCTCAGAGCTCCTTTTGGCTCTGGATCTGGCTTCTGGTTGCCCAGTGGGCAGTGTGGCAGAAAGCAGGAATGGTAGCATTTGCCTTGCAGAGGAGTTCCTGACCCACCAGCCTGTGTGCTCCATAGAGTTATGAAGAAGAAAAGCAGAGTCCTCAGACATAGGCCCAGCCAGGACCCACCTGTGTCTGTGTGTTCAGGCCAGGCAGGGCCCCTCTGGGTTCTCCCTCTCTGCCCAGTCTACTACCACGAAAGACAGCTATTTCTTCTGTGCCCCTACTTAGCCGTCTGCCTGGGCTGATGAACTGCAGGTCCCTCCATTGTCCATTTGGTTTTTGGGTTGGGCCAGCAGTTGGGACCATTGCAGCCTGGTGGGGCCCATCTGAATGCAACAGTGGCATGCCTGGGGCAGGGGCAGATCTGCTGTGTGCATAGCAGGACTTGGAGGTTCCTATGCCAACAGGGAGCAGACAAAAGGTTTAGACATGTCCCCACCTTGCCCTCTGTCACAGAGGCCCTGTCTGCACTGGCCTGGCTCTGTGGCATGCTGCCAGAGCACAAGCACACCTGCGTGTCTTGAAGCAGCTGTTGTGCAGCCGGTGAGCTGCCAGAGCAGAAGGCAGCGTCAGCTGCAGGAGGAACCATTACAGCTGGCTGCAGGCAAGGGGTGTCTGCAGATGTAGGTTTACATCTGGACTGTCCCCATTTCTGCTGGTTCCTACAGCTCGGAAGCAGAGGCTAGACCTGGAGGTCCGGAGAAGCAGCAGAGCAGTGCTTTTCCAGCTCGGTCATGAATATTCATGTACATTCCAGAGTGGCTGCTCCCTTCTGAACTTTGGCATCAGACCCCTTGGAGAAGGGGCTGACAGCACGCTTTCTGCTTACCTAGGAACAATTGCTTGCTGTGGCTGCTGCCCGATCTGCAGAGAGGTGGGTGTGAAGGGGACTCTGTTCCTTTGCTGCAGGCCTGCACTAGCTCATCTCCATAGGCATGACCTGTTCTCTTGCCTGTGGTGGGGATGCTGTTCTCCTGCCCAGCAGAGCTGGGTGGGCACCCTCTGACTCTGTGCATGGGGGCTTTGGTTTACCCCGAGGTTCCTTACCGCCAACAGGACTTCAGTGTGGTGCAGCCCTGTGCCTCTGGACTCAGTCTCCCCTCCCAGTTCTTGAGAGCTGCCTTGGCTTCTGCAGGCTCCATCCTGTCCGAGGGTCTCTGCCCTCGTGTGAAACATGGCTGATCCTGACTGCCACTTTGATCTCTGCTTTTGCTGCTGATTGATGGCACGGTGCTCCCTCCTGTTGCTGCCACTCCCTGCTCCCCCACTCCCACAGCAGTGCCAGAGCTGGGCTGGCCACATGGCATCTGCTTTTTGTCCTTCTTCAGTCCTGAGGAAAAAACCCAAAACAAAACAAAGTATTTTTAAACATCAAAGGTCCATTTTCAAGTGAAGGAATCTTCCCATTAACGTTGTGCCTGTGTGTGGTTTTTGGATTTGAAGAAAGGCTGCATAAAATCTGTGCTGCATCCCTTCGTTTCTGTGCTGAGCATGGCTTGCAGACCCACTGCATGCTGATTTGTACGTCAGAACATTAGTTACTGGAAGGTGCCTTTGCTCTGAATTGCCCTAGAGAGTGGTGCTAGCTGCCTCGGAGAGGAGCAGGGTTTGGCCACCCTGCTTTGAAGTCAGTGGCAGCTTTTCAAGCCTCCCATCTCCTCCAGTTTTCAGGACTGGAGCAGTGATCTCCAGTAGAACTGGGCTGCTGTTGATGTTGGGTTGTCTTGTATGGGTGAGAGTGGCCAGATGCACTGCAGGCCTGAGAGAGGGCTCTGGCATCCTGGCCTATGGGGTACCTGAGAGCTCAACCCTGAGTAGCAGAAATAGAGAACTTGAAAGAGCTGGTGTTCTTGGGGCATGAAGATACCTAGTTAGCAGGGCTGTGCCTTTTGCCCTCGGCTGCCCAGCGGTTGTTGGCAGGGGCAGGTGATTGGGAAAGGTACAATTCCCCCCACTCCTTAAATTATCTGACTGGAGGTAGGAACTGCCTGGCAACGATCAATGAATGTTGATGGAGACTGTCCCTTGCCCTGACTTCCTGTGCAGAGCGCCCTGGACCTGGAGTGGAGGGATAGCATGGCTGGTAGGAGTGGGCATAGCCGGCTGCCACTTCTTTCTGAGCAGGCCTGGGGTGTCCCTTGCAGCCTGTGGGGATGGAGCCTGCCTGCTTCTGGATGAGGTGCCTGGCGAGGAGGTTCTGTCCGGAGCACAAGCTTTTAGAAGACGGGCTTTCAGGCCTCGTAATGAGGGACTCATTTATGCTATTTAAGACGCTCTCTGGGTAAGTGGGTGATGTGCATATGGGAAGAGGAGCTGGCTGAGGCACTCAGGCTGTGCAGTAGGGGAATTAGTCTCCCCCTGAGATGATCCCAGATGTAGACCAGGGTGCTGGGTATGAGGGCGGCAGGCAGCTGCTCTGCTGTGGGTCAAGGGACACAAGTAAAAATCCGGGGGGGCTGTGCAGCTGCTGGAATGGGAGGCATTGTCATGCCATGGCTGCGGTGCCCCCTCGGTGATGTGCCATGTGGTGCCTGCAGGTGCGAGCACATCCCCGTTGGGCAGCCAGGATCCAGCTGCTGTACGCTCTTCCAGGCACTAGCTCAGCAGCGCAGGTCTAGCTACATGTGTCTGCAGTTCAGGGCAGACTCACTGCTGTCAGGATGCGGTAGTGCTCTCAGCTGTACTCATGCCTGACCAGTGCAGAGGCACAGGCTGTGCTGGGGCTGCTGCCATCATGGGTGCCCGGAAACTGTCAGGGCAGGTGTGTGGCAGGACGAAGGATGTAACAGTGTGAGGATTTGCCCCGTGGAGAATGAGGGGTTTGCTATTCTGACTGGCTGGTGGAGGCCGTTGGGGTGAGAAGGTCATTGGCTTTGTGAACAGTGGGGCGGGGGCCTGGGGCTGCCTTCTGGAAGGTGCAGCTCCCCAAGGGAGCATGGAAGAGCAGCACTGCTGAGCTGTGCTGACTGCTGGCTTGTGGCTACCAGCTCCCAGCTGGTTTCTGGGGGGATCCACCTGCCGCTGCTGCTAGCCTGGGTGCCTGAGCTGGCAGCCTCAGTGGCATATGAGGAGCTGCCAGCAAGAGGTCCTGGAGTTGTTCGTGTCCAGAGCTGTCGGCTGCAGGGCCTGTCTGTCCCCTCAGCTTTCTTCTGAGGGGTGGCTGTCCTCGCATGGTTGGATCTGCAGGGCGTGCTTGGAGAGGGTTGTTCAAGGCAGTGAAGTGTAACTCTGAGATGTCCCACTGCACAGGGGAGCATGTCTAAGTGCGAGGGAGCCCTGAATGTGGAGGAGAGGCCTGACTCGGAGGAGGTCCAAGCCAGACCCTCTCTGACCTTGCGGCATCACCTGCCTCTGTGTGGCTGGGCCAGGAGGCCAATGTGCAAAAGACTCATGGCCGAGGGCTGTTGGCAGCTCGGGGGCACTCCATATGCTCCCAGCCCAGGCACACTGCTGCTCTGGGCACTCCTCCACCCCCTGCCCAGGGAAAGCTGCAATCAGGCGCCTTCACCCTCTAGTTAGAGCCGACTCCACTCAACTTTCTAAAAGTAGCCGAGGGTCCCACCCACACAACCTCGCTCTTTTAATTTCTCAAATTACCCTTTGGTGCCCACAAATAGAGCCAACCTTGCCTTGTAATTTGTGTTGTCTTTGCTGACAATTGAGAGCGACTCGCTCTGTTCCCAGGGGGCCTGTGCATGGGGGGAGGGCAGAGCAGAGGGGGCCAGAAGCAGGGGAGCCCTTGTAGGGATGTGCAGGAATATAACTGGCTGGGTGGCAGATGGGAAGCTGGGAAGGTGAGAGGGAGATGCTAGGGGACACTCATCACTAGGATGCTTGGTCCATGGGGCCTTGGGTTAGGCCAGGCAGGCAGCTGGCTGTGAAGGGCTCCAGGCTCCAGAGCTGCATGTTAACAGGGAAGTTCATGTTCTGCCAACCCCTGCCCAGTGTGTGCTGGGGCTCATTACACCTTCTTTGGCCTGGTTTCAAACTCACATGTCCTCCAGGGCTTCTAGGTCTTAGCAGGCTGCACGTGTGGGTGAGGAATCTGCTCTGCACTCTGGGCAGCTGAAAGCAGGGCAAAGCCTGCACATGGGCCTAGGAAGAGGGTGTAGCATGAATGCCTGGGCAGGAGGAGAGTTCTTGCTGACTGGATAGATGGGCAAGGCTGGGACTTAAATGTGCAGTGCAGGAAGAAGCAGGTGAATAGGCAATTGGTGCCAGAAGCTCCAACCAGACTGTGCTACATGGGTTTCAGGGTCCCGCTGTGTTTGCGTCATGTTTGAGACTAACCTGTGCTTGTCTGTTCTGCAGCTGCTGGAGCGGGAGCCAGTCGTGTGCCACCTAGACCTGCAGCCAGCGCTGCCTCCTGGCCCAAAGGACTTTCCTGACGAGTTCTTTGAAGTCACGGTGGATGACGTGCGGAAGCGCTTGTCCCAGCTGCAGAGCGAGAGGCAAGTGCCTTTTCCACGAGCAGTCCCAGTGCTTGTGTCTCATCTCACACTCACAGAATAGAGCACGAGGCTGTGCCGTAGAGTGCTGGCATCTGGGAGCCAGTCAGGGGCTGGTTGGGTCTGTAGTTTGGGCTTGGTGTGTTCTGGAGTCCTGGCTCCCAGTGCCCACTTTAAGGCTTTTTAGATCACTTGGCCTAGAACGGGAGCTGCAGGGTGCAGGCCTGGAAGGAGTGAAATCCAGGGAACTGGGCAGCAGCCAGAACATGGAGCACTCCGGGGGGATGAGCTTCCAGCTTGTGGACTACTTGGACCTTAGGAGATGCTGGTCTTGCTGCAGATTTGACCTGTGTGCTTAGAAGAAAACCCTAACTATTCCCAGCTGTAGGCTGGCCCTGGCATGCTTTTGAAGTAGCATCAGGCTGCTGCACAGCCTTATAGCTGCAAATAGCCCCCTCTTCCTTCCCTGGGCTGCAGGTGGCCTGTGGAGTGGGGCAGGATCACTACCAGGGGAGCTCTGGCTGCCTTAGGACCTTTGTACTGCCAGAGCAGTCCATAAAGCTGGTTGTGTCTCCCGTTCTCGGGCCTGTCACTGAAGTGAAGTGTCTCCTTCACAGAGGTGCGGAGGACTTAACCCTGTAATGCTTGGGAAGTGTTTAGCATGCTCCTCACTGCCACGTCTAGGGGAAATGACGAGAAGGCCTTGGTGTTCATGTGGTGGAGGTGCAAAACTCTGCATTCTGGTGGGCTGCCCAAAACACAGTGCCCTCTTCCCCCACCCCTGCCCCACACGCATTCACGTGCACGCAGAGCTGCTGCTCCTAAAGCCGGGTTCTTCGCAACCCAGAGCCAGCGTGAACGCCGGGAAGCCGAGGCATCTCATGCTGCTCCTGCCGCGTGTGCCTTGGCCTGACAATGGCTGATAACTCAGTGGGCGTGGTTGCTCCCCCTGTGACTAATGAGTGACATGCTGTGACACATGGCTTGATCCTGCTACCAGCGCAATGACACCCATCAACTTCAAAGGGAGCTAGCTCTGGCCCGCAGCCAGCCAGCAAATCCCCATCGCTTTGATGGCAGAATGGCTGCGTTCCACTGCCGCTTGCTGGAATAAGCTCTGAGACATTGTCCCAAGGTGACCAGTAAGCCAAAAAACGTGGGGATGCATAGTTGCCCCAGGGCTGCGGCCGTCAGGAGCTAGGCCCTCATGTCTAGGAATGTTCTGGATTCTCAGCTGAGTTTGGGACGAGGTGGGCCAGGTAAGGGGAGCTTCCACCCTGGTGCGCTGGGGCGAGTGCTGTATGCACTAGAGTCACTTCCATCCGAATCTTCTATAAATCCTTCCTGCACGAGCGTGGGGCCGCCCATGGAGCTGTCTGCTTGAGACCATTCTTCCAAGTGCTCCAAAATCCACACGAACCCACATTGGCCTGGAAACTGCTGTGCTCCTTGTGGGCATAGTTAGTGGTGCAGATTTGGGATCATTTGGACAAGGGGTTCCTGGAACGCAGCCCCTCAGAAAGACTTAGTTTTGAAATCTGCTGATTCTTACAACTCTTTTTGCCCGCAGTCAGGGATAAAAATAAAGGCAAGATGCACATGCCATTGGCACAATGTGATGGCTGCATGATGCAGCATTTCAGAGGCTGTCAGAATAGCATTCTGGTGTCATGAATTGGTGTGTGAGTCTGAAGTAAGCCAGCAGCCTGGCCTGCAGAGCACAGTACATCCCTTTACCCCCAGTGGTGAAAGTGCCTGTACTTGGTAGCTGAGGGGCTGTGAATAGTGCTGGGCTGGGAGAGACTCCCCAAGTACCTTTTCTCTCCATAGTTGTCCTGTGCCTGTGCCCTGGCCCTGCCCCTCTTTTGCAAAGGCTAAAGGGATTGCATGTCGAAAGGGTTCACGTGGAGTGAAGGCTGCTGTAGCTCAGCACTGCCCTGAGTGCCTTGTGCCCTTCCAGAATGGGAGAGCCAGTGTCCAGGGCCTGCTTGGGACAGAAGCTGTAGGAGATAAACAATGGTGTTTTCATGTCTCTGAGACAGGAAAACCTGTGGGAGGAGAAGGAAGTCCAAGGCCTGTGTCGCTGGCTGGTATTGGTCACACAAAGAGGCTGGGTGCTGTGGGTGAAGAAAGCACCTTGAGGGCCTTGGGCCTGGGCTCCGAGGTGGCTGCGGTGGTGGTGGTGATGGGATGGGGCTGGGGGCTGGTGTCATGGAGGGAGGGCAGAAGGACTTGGGACAGGGGGCACTGGTGGGAGTGGGAGCTGCCCAGAGCTGCACTTGACCTGTTTGGGCTGTTTATCTTGTAACTGGGCCATAAAGTGGCAGATCTGACAGGTAATCTGCCTTGTCCCCTTCTGTAGGAAACGCCTGGAAGAGACTCCCTTAATGACAAAGTCCATGAGGGAAACTCAGATGAAGGAGAAGCTGGAGCGTTACCCAAAGGTAGCCTGTCCTTCATCTTCACTCCTGTTCTCATTGGTCACTGAATTCAAGGGGTTGGATCTCTGTAGGGACCAACAGGGTGATGGCAGGCGGGTGTTCCAGCTTGCCTCTCTGGTGATGTCTCTGGGAGAGCAGGAGGTGCGTGCTGCTGGAGCGAGCCAGGGACAGGACGGCGCTCAGAACCAGCAAGCATGCCCATGGCAGCTGGCCAGTTGCCAGGCTCCCTGCACCCTCCTGCTGCTGGCTGCTCGGCTCCTGGGGGGAAAGATAGCACCATTGGGAGGCTCCCTGCTGCAGGGGTGCAGTGCTCAGAAGTGGTGATTCACTGAGACCACGAGCTTGTCAGAGCACAGACTATGCGTCCTGTTTATGCAGCCTCTGGCACAGCGGTTCTGTCTCAATGCTGCTGTAGTACAAACAGCATCGTTACCCTCCCTGGAGACCAGATCTGATGGTCACAGATTCTTGGAGACCCAACCAGCTCAGGGGCCCTGAATGGCTGCCTGGCAGTGGAAAGGTGCAGTCCCTGAGGGAAGAATGTGTCCATCTGGTGTGACCTCCATGCAGAGCAAAGACTGCCTGGCTTCAGCTCTGCTCCAAGTTTAGCTCGTGTGAGCAGGGCAATGACTTTGAGGGCAACTGCTGGAGCTGATGCAGCTGTCTCTGTCTAGGTGGTGCTGCGGATTCACTTCCCAGACCGCCATGTTCTGCAAGGTTTCTTCCGCCCCAGTGAAACAGGTAAGTGCATATCTGCTCCTGTCTTACAGGCAGCACCCAGCCTGCAAAGCCACATGGCATGGGGATATGGCGATGCACAGGAGGGTTCTGGATGGGTCTACAGCATGGGTGAGGGAGGGCTGCACTGCCCTGAAGAAGTTGCACGATTATACCTGCATTCACCTGAACTACATGGTCTTTCAGATGGAGCCTAGTGCAGCTTGTTCCTGTTGCTCCAGGGAGTGGGGGAAGCAAGGCTTCAAGGTGTTGGCCTCATCCAGACTCAGTACAAGGAAGGGCTTTTTCTCAAGACTGTGTTGGGAGGGATGGTGCCAGACACCTTGGAGTTGCAGTATTCCTGCCCAGAAGAGTCACAGCAATGTCCTGGCTGATGGCACAGTCATTCCCAAACAATGCAGTGTTGTCCCCATACAGAACAAAGGCTTCTTCCAGCCAGAGTCCTGAAGAGAAGGGCTGGGAGTACAAGAGAATAGGGTGAATTCAGCTACTGTTTTTAAAACCACCAAAGGCCAAGCTGAAAATCAGGCCCTCTCCAATGGAGCCGAAGTAGCAGAGGCATTACAGGTTCCTGCATCTCCCAGGCCACACAAGGGAGCATGCCAGGGCACACACCTGGCTGCTCTTCCAGCCATTCACTGACATCCTCTGCCCTCTGGGGAGTCAGGTACCCCATGCCCATTAGATTTCTTGACTTGCCCTCAGAAACAGGTGCTGTCCGTTAGGGCTGAGAACTGGGGACCAGAGCCTCAGTGGGTTGGGGCCCCCTGCACGTGCTGCAGGTGCTTCTGGACATCTGACTGCCAAGGTAGCATTTGAAGGCTGCTGCTGGCAGGTGTGTTGTGGATCTTGTGCTTGGGCCCAGCATGCCCTTTTCCTCTGCTTTCTTCCCTCCACAGTTGGTGACCTGAGAGGCTTTGTGAGAGGCCACCTTGCAGATGCGGAGCTGCCATTCTACCTGTGTGAGTGTAGTGGGTGTTTGTGCCCACCCCTGCCCTTGAGCCCTTTCCTGGAGAGACACCTGGCATGAGGCCTGTGGGAGAGCTTCCCCCTCCTCCTTCCCTGGGGCAGCACCCTGAAACAGGACAGTTTCCACTGTACCTTGCCCAGAGCATGAGGAGTATCACTGCTGTCTAGACCCAGCCGGGGTCCTGCCTGCAGCAGAGCAGGCAGCGCTGCCTGGGTGCATGGCAAGGACACACCTTGCAAAAGGGTGCTGTAAACCTCCCCCAGAGCAGTGGCATGGTCATGAAGCTGCTGTCCTAATGTGCAGCTTGTTCTTCTCTGCAGTTATTACACCTCCTAGGACCATCCTGAGTGATGAGAGCTTGACCCTGTTTGAGGTAAGGGCTGGTTCTCTTCCTTGGCTTGCTGCCCTCTTCTCCCAGCTGCTTGTCCTTGCTCTGGAATGGGAGCAGATAATGAGGGTCCCTGGCACTCCAGGCTAAGTCTCAGCTAATGGGATTGAGTGTTTTGGACCAAAAGCACGTCAGTGGGGAGGTCTTCTGTGTGCAGCAAGATGTGTTGCCTACATGAGGGAGGGGCCTGGCTCCGACTCAGCTGCCGTGCGGGTGGGTGTCAGCTACTGTTCCACACGGCTTTCCTCTGAGGAACTATGTGCAGGGAGCAGGTCAGTGGGGCTCTGTGGACCTGTGCTCTGGGCCGGTGATATGGGGCTAGCAGACCATTGCTCCTGTCTGCTATGGTGGGCAGTGGCCTGAGGAACGAGAGAGTACAATGGTCTGGTGCTGCAGGATACCTCTGGGCTTAGTGTAGCCTCCAGCCCTTGGCATGGTTGGGCTTAGGGGGCTGTGGAGGATGCACCTGCCGTGCAGCACAATCTCCCGTGGGCTTTGGTGCAGTTCTCGGATGTGGATCCCTGGAAGCAGTTGCCTGGTAAAATGGCCTTGCCAGAGTCTCTCAGGCTTGTGGCCCTGGCTGTGGAGCTGCCATGCCTAGAGGGACATTGAGCGGAATGGCTCTGCAGTGGCTTTGGCAAACTCGCCATGCCTGGAGCAGGCGTCTGGTGGTGGCTGAAAAGATTGCTGTAGGCGAGGGCTCAGGCATGGTGGGCACGTTAGGAGGGGACCAGGCGAGTGCTCCTCTGGCCTGGTTTATACTGGAGCATTCCAAATGCCCGGTGTGCAGGCCAGACCCTGTGGAAGAGACCCCAGTGCAACAGCTCGTGGGCAATTGAATCTGCAGGGGCCCAAATCTCATGGGTGTCATGTTCCCACCCAGAGGCCTGGCCCCTGCCTCATGCCCAGGCTCTGGTGAAACTACTGTGCTAAAAGCTGGAGTTAGCCCTGGACACAGCTTATCTGCATGACTTCAGTGAGCTGAGCTGCTCTCCTTGCTGCCCAGCACCCAGGCCTGAGGAGTGCGTGGCAGTGCTAGCCTTCCCATCTGCTGGTGCGGAGCACAGCCCAGTCTGCATTGTGCTCCAGGAATCACAGTGTGGGAGCCCATGTGCTGCACCTGGCCAAGCAGCCTGCGTGGGGCTCTGTTCATCTAAGCTCTCCCACACGCCACCTGTGCCTGATCCCTCCCTGAGCATGCCAGAGCGTCTGGCAGCCCTCCCGCGGGCGGGAGCCGGACGCCGTGTGTGTCTGCAAGAGACAATGTCTTCTTGGTGGAGAAGAGCCAGCTGAGTGTTGTTTCTCTTCAAAGCCACTTCAGATATTTTAATTAATAACAGAGATGCCAGTGGAAAGCTCCTCGTGCCTTTGAATGGGAGATTTTCCCACTCCCTGTGAGGGCAACTCCTCCCAGCTCCCTGCGTTTGTGCTGCCTCACCCGCAGCCGCCACCCAGACTGGTCCCTGGTTCCCACACGGCTCCGTGGGGGAGGTGGGGAAAGCAGGTTTTGTCTGCAGAGTCCAGGGAAGTTCCAGGGAAAGGAAACGTGATGCTCTAATGCCACGTGTGGAGGAGCCGCCATGCAGGGAAGGTAGCGGGAAGTGTGCTGCCCTCCTGGAGTGCAGGGGACCAGGGTACTGTTCTGCCCCCGTCCCTGGCAAGCCGCTCCCAGCCCCGCCTGTCCCTAACTCCCACTCTGTGCTCTCTGCTTGGCTCCTAGGCTTCTGCTTTGAGCAGGTCACATCCGTCAGCTGCAGTTTTCTTTCTTCCAGTTCTGTTTTCCCCACTTTACTGCTCCAACAAGTATCAATGATAGGCACCCCCTGGGGAGGACTCAGATGACTTTTGCTGCTGTTCTTTCCCTATACTGGACTGGCAGGAGTGTTTGCTGCCATCTTCCCATCTGGGCTTCCTTACCTTCTCTTCTTTGTCCCTGCTGACCCTGTCGACTCCCCTGCGTGCCTCTGATTCTGCTCCCCTCTCGCTCCTGTCTGCCAGAGTGCCGTGGACTTCCCCCCTCCACTGTCTCTTCTCCCTCTAGAACGTAGTCTCCCGGATTAGGTTTGGGTGTTAACTGATGCTGCGCACCTTAAGCCTACCTGTTCCCATGCTGGCCACACTGGCATCGTCCCTGACTGTGCCCCCCCTCGCTCCACTTCTGGATCCTCTCCCTTGTTGCCCTCCTCTTTCCTCCACACCACGTTCTGCCTTTTTGCAGTCCTGAAAGCTGCGGTTTTCTGGCTCTGGCTAGTCCTTCCTCCAGACCATCGAGAGTCTTCCTTGTCCCCAGCTCCCAGTGCTAGCGGCCCTTCCTCTTCTGCAGGGAGTTTCATAGATTTCATAGACATTAGGGCTGGAAGGGACCTCGGAAGATCACCGAGGCCAGCCCCCTGCCCAAAGGGCAGGAAGTCAGCTGGGGTCACAGGATCCCAGCAAGATAAGCATCCAGTTTGCTCTTGAAAGTGTTCAGTGTAGGTGCTTGAACCACCTCTGATGGCAGGCTGTTCCAGACCTTGGGGGCTTGGACAGTAAAGAAATTCTTCCTTATGTCCAGCCTGAAACAGTCTCGCAGTAGTTTATGACCAGTTCCAGCTGCTCCGCCTCGGCTCTCCTTTCCTCTGTGTCGTTCTCAGACTCTGCCAGATCTGCTCGTCTTGTGTGTCCCATCCCTGTTTCTGAAACACCGCCCGCTGTGGGAAGCTCTGGGCAGCACTCATCTGCTCTGCTTGGGGCAGAGACTTTGTTTCCCTTCTCTTCATATATCTGTTGCCCAAGGTGCTGAGTGTTACTGGTTCCCGTGGATGGGCAGTTCACCAGCTGTGGCATATCATGGAATTCACCCCTTGATGCATAGGCTGAGCCCGCTGGAAAGCACATAGGGGTATTGCAGTGGGGTATTTTTGGACCCCACCAAAGTCTCCCTTAGGCTGCTCTGAGATCCCAGGATAGTTAATTGAGCCTGACCCCTGTTCTAGGCACATTCCCTTTTTAATGGCTTCACTGGGATGCAAATGCTTGTTCCCTCTCAGAATCTGACGTTAAATACATAGCCCTAAGGCCAGGACATTTGGATTGTGAAAGGTTTCGGTGGGGTAACTTGCCTAGAGAAGGAGCCTATGTTTTTCCTGTCTTAGAAGATGAGACTGGGAGGCCATTTGCTGAAACCGAGGGGTGGCAAATCTAGAAACGATAAAAGGAAATGCTTTATTCACCCACCGCATAACTAAACCTCAGGACTCACTGCCATGGGCTGTTACTGAAGCCAAGAATTTAGCAAGATCATGGAGGGATTAGACGGGTAACGTGACTACCCAGAGTTGTCAACCAAATGTGGGAGGGGTCTAGGATGTCATGTTTCAGCATTTGTGACAGTCTCTATCTGTTAAAGATTGCACTCAAAACCCTTGGCAAACAGGATTTTGTGCGCTTTCCTATGAAGTTGCTAGCTCTAACTACTATTGGAGATGCAATACTGGACTGGATGGACCACTGGCATGATCCAGTAAAGTGATTTCCATGCTAATCCAGTCACTCTGTAAATCGTATGGTAATGTGCTAATAATAAAAGCAATAATATGTGGAATTTCATATGTAACAAGGAAAGTGGGAATATAAATTGTCTGGTATGTGTGACTCGAGTAAGTGAACATTTTGTTGAGAATTGAACTGTTGGAATTTCCTGGCTTCTCAGTGCCCAATTTTTTGCGGCTTTAAAGTTTCATTTAATGCCATTATTTTTTTTTATTTAATTTTCCTGGTTTGGGGGGCAGCAGGAAGAAGAAATCCAGTGTGCTTGGCCTCCTCAGCTTTGAAGCAAGCTGCAGATGATAGTAATGGAATTTATTAGCTAATGGACCTGACTGTCCCGGCTGGGACCCTGTACAGCACGTCAGACCTGTGCAGAGTGGGCGTACAGTGCTAGCAACCATAGCATGCCACCCATGGGGAGTGTCCTCTGCCCACTCGGTAGAGGTGTGGTGCAGAGGTTGTGATAAGCCTGGTGAGTATGTGGAGTGGCAAGGGAGCTGTGAGCCTTTGGTATGAGGTCCCAATCTGCAGTCATGTTACTTGGGGGATGACAGTTGTTACTGTGTCTTGGGATGTTTCGGTAGTGGCAAAAGCCTCGATGCTGACATGGTTCCCCTGGCATAGGAATGCTTCTGCCCATGTAGCTTGTGTTGCTGGCAGAGACTCCATAAGGTACATTGGTGAAGTGCTTTTTGGAGCAGTTGGCACCTACACATGGGAAGGGGTTGCTGCTGTAGTGGTGATAGTTGACCTCCCTGTGCTGCTTGCTGTATTTGCAAGCTGCCAGGCCTGCAAAGTAGTTGCTTCCCAGACTACTACTGCAGTCCTGAGCTGGGTGCCTGGGATGGAGCTGGGTGTCTGTGCACAGTTCCCTCCTGTGCCTGGCCCACTGTCGTTATTTTTATCCACCTTGGCAATGACTAGTGCAGAAACCTCAGACGGTGGGAAGTGGGTCCGAGACGAGCTGACAGCTTCCCGGACTCTGCCGCAGCACCCGCTTGGCGTGATGGTTCAAAGGGCCCCAGACTGTTGTTTTCCACCCTGTTTACCCCCAGACTTGGCAGAGGCTGCCTGGCTCCACACAGCCTGTTTGCAGCATTAGTGTGGGGTGGAGAGGAGGGGACTAGAGTGCTCTTAGATCAGTGGCTCTCAACCCTTTTAGATTGAGGCCTCCTAGGAAAATGCCAGCTCTTAGTTTTCACTGGTTACTTGACTGAAGAAAAATACTAGAGCAGTTCTTCTGTTGCAGAGAGCTCAGAAAACCCAAGCAGAGCAGTGTGTTGTTTGCATGCCTTGCAGCACTGACACTGCTTGACATCCTGCAGCACCCTTGAAAGGATCTCAAAGCACCTCAGGGTGCCACCACTGTGGTTGACAATCACAGTCTCAAAATGAGGGATTTTTCCACAGGCTTTTAACTTCCCCACACATGAAGGGGCTTTGCACAGCTTTGCTCA